CGCAGCAGCCAAGCCCAATGAGAAAGGCTAAATGACGCTTATCCACGCCTCTCGCCCAAAATCTCCTATTCTTACGAAGCCATTTGGGGCCCACCGAGGGAAGAGTAGTTACGGATTTGAGAATGAGATGAACGTTTTGCCTTGTTTTTAAGAGGAAGAATGACACGAAGTTAGCGGCAACACCCAAACCAAACACTTCATACAACCTAATCAACACACAGATTGATCAACACCTCGCAATGAACTTTGTGATTTAGCTAGCTTGAATCAACCTAGTATTAGACATTGCTCTCTGTACTTTCTTTTCCAGCATCATGTTCACCACAATTCCTTAAATACAACTCAATTTCTAGAACGACCTGAGTCCCACTAAGTGGTTTAGTCTCGCCCTTCAAGGAAATTGATGTAAAAGACATTAAGAACCCACAAACGCCTTGATTGAGGACCTAATCATCTAGCTTGCTTAGTGTGCGTGAGATGACTTGTCCATCTCACACCAATAACTGGTGCATATTTGGTATACGAAAAAGTTTTTTTTTTTTTTTTTAAAGGAGAAGTGTAAACTTAGAAAGAAAATGATGTAAGTGTATTTCTCATTCGCTTTCTACAAAACACTTTCAACCTAAGAACGATGCATAATTTCTTAATCTAGATACACCGATATAACGATTTTTAGTCTAGTATATATGGTTAATTTTAAAGTTTCAATATTTATTTGTGTCGTTTTGAATTCTAGTGTTTTGTAAATCAATTGAGTCCAGTTAGATGAACTTTTCTTGGAACAGCATTCCTTGACGTTACCTGGATACTTGTGATATTCGAAAAGATCCCGATTTATACATTGACGAGTCCAAGGACCCCCTTCCCATTTACTGCACCTTTGTATTAATTAAAAAAAACATAATTTTTGTCTCTATAATTTTATTAAATTTTGCTTTTAATCTCTATAGTTTCTTTTCATATTTTCTATCCTTGTAGAGATTAAAATTACTAAAAAAAATTATAAGGATCAAAAAAATAAAAATTATCCAATCTTTCTAAAATTATAAGAATTAAAAACATTGAAAAAAAAATTATAAGGACTATAATTTTCTTTTTTTTCCTTTTTTTTTAATCTTCGTACATTGTAAAAGTCATCAGGTGGAGTACTGTAGCTCTACAATGCTCCACCCTGACCTTTCTTTTTAATTTTTTATTTTTAGTATATATAGTAAATTTTATAGAATTATAATTTAAAGTAGAATTAAAACATTTTTTATTGAGACAATTTAATATTCAAATTTTAATAAAATATTTTCTAATAATACATTTTTATAACAACATATTAACATATTTGTATCTTTATCATATTTGTATCTTTATGCATTTTGGTTCAATGGTGCATTGGCGATTCTATGTTATGCATTCGGAATATTATAAAATTATTTTTATATTTTTAATATGTGTCAAACAATAAATTCTAAAATAATTTGTATAAAAATAAAAGAAATTATTGCTCACATTTTTAATGTATTTAGACAATTCCGTTTTAATTTTCCCATGCATCATGGGTAAAAAATTTAGTTTTATTTGTAAAATATGTTAAATTTTGGCCTCATGTAGTGACTCTATATATAACCTAATTTGACACTTTATATGATTAGTCAACATAATTTTTTTTATTACACACAAATATCCCCTTGTTAAAAGCAAACATATTCAAAATATAATTGAACATTAAATGTAAGTATATCTCTTAATAAAATTTAAATCTTGATTTTTCATGGTATAGGAACTAATCTCTTTCATTATACCTAACATTTATTGATAATCAGTCAACATAATTTTGCCAACAAAAACAAATACTTTTGTTGTTGTAAAATAGAAAGTTTGTTTAAGTCCTACAAGTTCATTAGGACTAAAACATGCATTGATTGTTAAAGAGCGCTTGTAATGATATATACTTACAAATTATTCACTAACAAATCTCTTACATTGACAACAATATTTAAACCATTAAACTTATGAGTTATAGATTAAATTTTTATTAATTGAATCAAACTTTATTGATAAAAACCAATTATTTTACTTGCTGCGTAATTGGCATATTCTGATTGGGCCGTATCAACATCCATTCGCAGGACTACAATTGTGCGCTTTCATCAAAGAATTTCCTTCATACACGTACAAGTTCATGCAACAAGGATAAACCAAGGCATGTCACCCCAACAAAAAACAAAAAACAAAAAACAAAAAGGATTTAAAACAAAAGAGAGATAAAAGTTCAAAAAAAAATTTGAAGTGTAAAAATATTTAAAAAAAAATAATTTTGAAGAAATATAATAAATGAAATAAACAGAGAAACAGTGCCACCCTTTGTTTTTCTAAATCTGTGTGCCGGCATTTGTTTTGAGGGTGAATTTTGGTTACCTCCATAAACACGGAAGAATATAAAAATGCTTAAACTATATATTATTGATAGGATTTATCTAATTTTGGGGAAGGTATTCTAAAATGAAAATTTTATTTTACTAAGCACCAAAAAGTTAGCCGTATGAAATTGTTAATAAATCAAATTTAAACATATACACACACAAGAAGTCAACTTTTCTCGGCCAACAGCCCGTGTACTTAATTTTGAACAGCAGGATTTTATCTGGAAACTATGGCATGGTTCAATGGACCAATTTTTTTTAAGTTCCTTTTTTTAATTTCAGTTGAATAGTATGTGGACATCATTCACACACCGATTCCATCCACAGTAACAAAAAATCAATGTCCATTTATGTAATATAAAATATACTCTCTCTTGTTCTTATTATCATAAGACTTTTTCATATCTTTTATTAATTCTTTATTACTCAGTTCTTTACAAGTTGTTTAAATTTTTTTCTTTCAATTCCTTTTGCTTTGATATTTTTTTAATTAAACTATATTATTTCCTTCATTTAAAAATATAAAAAATTTTTAACATAATCTCACCTTTTAATAAAGTAATTATCTACTTTTAAACTAATTCTGTCTTTTTATATTTATCTCTATTAAACACTCTACAATAAATATAAAGTTATTATCAATAGGAGTACTTTTAAAAAAACAATGATTACACCTTGAAAGATTAAAAATACCTTATATTTTTTAACGTTCAACTCCTCAAAAAATGTCTTACATTTTTGAATGGAGAAAGTATTATTTATTGAAAAAAACTTAAAATTGAGGATAAATTTATAAATTTAAAGTATTAATTAAATTTAAATAAATTTCTTAACTTATATAAAGATGTTAATAAGTCTTTGTAATAAGAATACGAGGGAGTGATATTTATAACAAATTGCAATATTCACAAGTGAATGAAAATTAGTATGTCTTCCTTATTTTTATAGAAAAAAATTTTAAGTGAATTGAATGTTAAGGGTGGATTAGGTCAAGTTATGCTTTCAAATTCAAACAATGTTTATGAAAATATTTACAAATCGCTCACTTACAAAATCCTAACATTGAGTGCAGGATTTAACCTCATTACTTTATGGGTTATATTGATTAACTCATTATCAACTAGATGAACTTTGTTAGTTAAAAAGCATGCCTTCTGTGAACAAAATGCATTTCTCCTTACGAGAGGTTATCACAATAAATGCCCTGTTTGGTTTGTTTTTTTTTTTAATTGAAAATTACATTAAAAGACCTAGTGCGGTAGGTTGTAAATTTCTAAAAAATCAACTCTAAATTATTGAAAATCAGTTCTAGAGTATTGAATCAAAGAAAACAACACCATTCTTAGAATTTCTAATGAGATTGAGCTTTAATTTACTAATAAAAATCAATTATGAATTATCATAAATTAGTTTGGTGTAATTAGTGGAAAGTAAAATCAGTTCGAGTCCCATGCTGCTTTGGACGTTTTCAAGCTCTATGAGATGTTTGAAAACTCTGAGGCTCCAAAACCAAGCTGTATTCTTATTGATATTTTATCTTATTAATATTTTATCAGCCAACAACTTACAACTAGTGGTGGCTAAGACCCTATATCTTTCCGCGTACCTTTTCCAATTCTGGAGGCTTCACTATTTTTATGCATTTTTCCTTCCTAAGACCTAATCTTAAAGTTTAATTATACATTCCCTAAAAGGTAAACTTTAATTAGGATGTAGTAATCACGCATTAAAATGATAATCCGATTTTTTTATCTCAATTCAAATCAACATCAACAATAGTTGATAAAAATGGATAACTATTTTAAAACATAAGCTCCTTTTATTTGAGGGGAAGTGACAATTAAAGACCCCTAATAAGGTTGTTAAATTCAATAAAACTATAAAATATTGAAATCTCAATTAATAATTATAGTCCTTACATAAAATAAAAAAATATACATAACTTTCTAAAATTTTTCTCTATTAAATATTAAAATGTACATAACACTTTTAAAATCATTATTGTAACATAGAATATTGTTAATATCAGTTTGAGAAAATAATGAATCACACTTGAAAATAAATTATTTTCTAATATAAAAACTCACTTTTAAAACATCATAAGGTCTCTTATGAATATACAAAAATAACTTAAAAATTTACCAATTTCACTCAGAAATATGAACTCAATAATTTATCAAATTTTATGTTTATTAATATATAGTTAGACCATTTAAAAAAAAATAACACTATTAAAATTAGTATTGCGGCTTATTAGTTGGAAAATAAAGGAACTATATTTAGAAATTAATTGTTTTTTAATATAAAAAAACCAACTTTTAAAACAATGTTACTTATGAATATAGAAAAATGACTTAAAAATTTATTAATTTCACATTGTGATTGTTTCCTAAGGAACATTTAAAAAAATTCACATGTTTTTAAATTTTAAGTAAAAATTAAGATTTTTAATTGAAATTTTAATATTTTATGATTTTTAATTAAAATTATCGACCTTATTGGGTCCTTGATTGTAACTTTCCCTTTATTTTATCACGCTCGTTCTGAAACCTTTCCCTCAGCAACACACAGAAAAACGACACCGCGTTACACGAGAAAACAAAGAGATTTCATTTTCAATTCAGTCCCTCTTCCACTGTCCTTTCCTTTTTCTCTCTACATCACCACCATTTTTGTACATCACTGGGCCAAAAAAAAAAAAAAAGACCAGAAAACACGATTAACTTTTCTCTTCTCTAAGGTAAACACACTCAAGAGCCGATTAAGACAAAACTGGACTAAAAGATTATTGATCATTTCAACCCGAGAATTCAAGTCCAAGGTCCATTTTGCAAGATGACCAATTCTCACTATCCTTGAACTCGATCCTCCTCTTCTTCACCGGTACTACGTGATTGGCACGTGACACCGGTTCGAACCCTAGTGTCAACTCTAATCCTATATCGGCCGTTTCATCGACAGTTCGGTCGCTGGCTTTCCGGGTTGATTCCGGCTCGTCTCGGAAGAGGATTGACGTCTCCGCGGTCTCCACGGAGATCATGCTCTCGCTCTCTTTGCTTTCGTTCACTGCCTCCGACTGATGGCTCAGCGATGACTCATGACTCCCCGACCGGTTCACAACCGCTTTGGTGGCGCAACACGCGGTCCACGAACTGATTGGAGTAGTTGCTTGAGCGCCGTCACGTGCTGGAGCGGGCTCAACGAACAACGAGCCGGTTACTGCTTTGTTGTTGTTGGCTTTCGGCTTGACGCCGCCGCCGACAGAGCGCTTGAACCTCGAGCGAGTCTTGACGACTCGTTGAGCATCGTTTGACGCGGCCGAGTTCTCGTCCTTGGACACGTGGCGTATGTCGTAAGCCTTGAGAGGCGGGCCCCTCCCATTGGTGGCCGCCTCTGAGGTGATCGGAGTGATCGGCGCGCCCTTCAAGACGGCTTCCACGGCGGCCTGACAGAGCTGCCAGCTCCCGGACCATAACAACCCGACGGACCCATAAATCGGGTTCACTATCCGCCCGCATGCCTCGTATAGCAAGGACCGAAAAATAGCTGTGATATACAAACAACTGATCAAAACTCCGAACAGAGACAATCAAACTTTCCCCGATTGGAAAGAAAATGGGAGAAAATAATGAAAGTAAACCGATTCGAAAACTAACCAGGACGAAGGTGTTCAGGACCAGCGTTGATGAGGTTCATGAGCCCAGCACGGCCGTAGAACTTGGCGAGAAACACAGTAGCATTTGCCTGAGACTCTGGGCTTTTAATCCACTGCAAACAAGGCCTGATACTGCAATTCTCACTGCAACCTTTTCTCAAAACTCGGCATCCATTACAGCTCATCCGCATTTTCGAACAAGTTCAGAATCACGAAGAAGAGAGTTCTGGGAAAATACAGTAGAAGAGGAAGGTGCTAGAGAAGTTTGAAGATTGTGAGATTGTGAATTGTGAATGTGGAGGCCGTGGGTAAGGTTATATATTTTCAGGTGCTGTGGACGCAGCTGTTTTTTTTTTTATCCATTAAATCATACCACAAACAATGGGTTTCCACATTCAAGGAGATTATGGAAGCAAGGAAACAGGGGAAACAAATCCCACCCTCAACCGCAGCGCGTGTGCTCAACTCCCAATCATGGGGTCTCGCATGCCTTTGCCATTGGGACGTAACTGACGTGGAAACCCACAAAAAAACCCTTCCTCTGAACCTCTAGTCTGAAATCAGAAAACAGATACGATCGCCAGGTTGGCTTTTCCCTCCTCCAGAAATACCCTCACTTGGATTCAAAAATCACGGAATCTAACACACCAATGGCCAACAATGGAAAGGGCATAACAGTAATTTGATCTGATAAGGGGACAGTAGGGGTGCATGCAAATGGGTACAAAATTTAAGAAGGGAAGAAAGGGGCGCGTGGCAAGCACGTTAAGGTGTCAGAGTGCGGTCGAATCGCCACATATTGAGGAGTAAGGCCCACTAACAAAGCAATTTATAATTTAAAAAAAAAACAAAAAAAAAGAAGAAGAAGAGAGAGAAAGCTCCTGGTTTTCGGGAAATGGTGGTGTGGTGAGACTCATGAGAGAAGATTAAAATAAAGGTTTAGGAAAAACCGGAGACCGGTTTCCGGTTTTGGGTATGGGACTGTGGGCGGAACATGAAGGAAGAAAACACTGTGAGCCAGTGGTTTTTTTGGTGGGGTGGTCCGATTTAGGTATTAATTTGTACTCGATAGAGTAAGAATCTATTGGTGTTGCTTATGATATAAGGACAACGACGTTGCCCAGTTAGGAATAGTTTAAGTGACTCAAGCTTTATTAATTGTAGTAACTTGCTCGCATTATTAATTAATTATATCTAAAAAAAATTATAGCAAGTCACAGATGAGTACACGTGTTTTCCCATTCATTTGGTATTTTTCCTTCTTTTTATGCTCCCAAATTAATAATAATACATCCTAGTTTCTCTCTTTACACTATGCCCAGAGACTAATAATAATATTTGATAATTGACTTCTACCTAATTTACTGCCACTTTAGTTCGATGCAATTCTAGCCATTTGATTAAAAGGTTGATGTGATATATTACATATATATGCCACTTATTAATTTATTATTGATCGAGTAGTGGTTTCGGTTTTTACGGTTTTGTAAAATTAAACTAATGTATTAGTAATAAATTTATTTTGTCAAACATGTTCCTGGTTTAAAATAGGATGAATACATTAAACAGCTAAATATTATAATAAAATGAAGTTAAATACATTTTTCATTTTTCTTTCTGGGTACCAGATTTTGACCCTGTGCGTGCATTAGTAGTTTGGTGCATAGTAGTTCCAGTTAACCACGAAGGCACGTAATTAGCACGTACGGGGGATTGAAATCTTTTCTCAGGCAAAAACGAAAGAAAGAAAGAAAGAAAGAAAGGAGAGAAAAACAGTTCAAATTCAGCACGGTAATCAAGTTTTTCTATATAAAATTTAATGTGTGTATATTTAAATATTTTTTTCCTTGGGGCGAAGGCTTGTTTATTAATTTCTACGTATGATTAATGCCTTTCGAGAAGAAAAACATCTGAAATTATTCTACACTGTTCATTTTCATTGATTTAAATTATATATATTGATTAAATGTTTGAATTTTTTTCTTATATTTTTTTAAATTATGTATTTAAATTGGATGGCATTTTAGAAAAAAAATAATAAGACTATAGGAAAGTTAGAGTAAATATTAAACTATATTAAACTCATTTCTCAATTTTGCAAACAATTTTTGTTTTGCTTTTTTAAAAAAAAAACTGTAAGGGATTTGATGCATTGGACTCACCCCTAATTTAATTAAAACCAAAATTAGGAATATCTTGGCTGGAATGTGAGGATAGTAACACTTCAAATTTTTGCAACAAATATTTTTAACCCCAGGACTTAAATTATTTCACATAGCTATATGTAATCAAATAGCCAGTGAATTTTCACAATCTAAAATGATTGATTTCTCCATTTTTAAAAAAAAAAACATAAAATTGAATCATCAGCGCCACATTCTCACATCAAGCCCAGTTGACTGAAAAAGTTTGAGTTGGTGGCAGTGTGTGTTGGGTGGTGATGAAGGTGGAAGAAACAAAAGTGAAATGTATATATTAAATGCATGACTAGTAAATAAATATAATTATATAAATATAACACATGAGGATATTAGACAATATATTGAAATATAAAACATGAAAGATAAATAAATGGTGATGGGCTAGTGGCGGCCTAAGACTTTGGAGGCGAAAGACGGTGGCTTTTGTTCTGTAGAAAGACAAGATCATCACTGAATCAGCAGTTGACAAAGTTTAACGTTGCAGCAAAAAGCATGAGGAATTAAGATCAATGATGTCGTCCACCACCAGCTAGCTAGCTTTAATTTGCTATCTACCACGTTCCATGGATTTTGACTTTCTCTATTACTACTGTAGGACTTTTTTTTTTTTTTGCCCCCAAGGTTTCTGCGTTTTGGACGATCATAGTTGTAAAGTACAATAAAACATCCTCCATGAATGAATTAGGAACATTGAACATGACCCTGTATTTTTCCTGTACTCTTTACCAGCTTCCTTAGACTCATCTAACTAAAGAGGGACCACTTTGAGCGCGCAAGTCGCTACTATATACATGCATGCATGTATATATACTCGCTCGATTATATTTATAAAGCGGAAAGAGAGTGATTTTTTAATTATATTTGTAAGGTATTATACTTGACTTTTATTATAAGTTTCTCATTTTACCCTCTATTAATTCTAATTAAAAATTCAACAAGTTTCAAAATTTATCCCTGTTAGTCAATATACATATTTTAGTAATGTATTTTTTATCAATATTTAATTGTAATAAAAGAGAAAATATGTGATTAAAATTTAATTACAGAAGGAGAAGATTTTTTTGTCCTATTTTTAAATCACATCAATAAATTATCATTACAAATTTCTTCTTTTATCCTCCATTAAATGTTAAAAAAAGAAAATATATTGTTAAAAAGTATATTTAATGAGGATAAAATTAATAACTTGTTAAATTTTTAGAGAGAGTTAATGAATTTTAAGATTATTTTTAGTTTTAGTTAAACATGTTAGAAGAATGAATAAAATTAGAGGAGTAAATAAGTAGGTTGTGAAAATATGTATATTTATTGAGAAAAATATTGAATACTTATTTAAATTTTAAAAATTTTAACTTCTTTTTTTTTAATAAAAGGACAGCAATTAGGGAACAATACTAATGTCTTGTACCAAAATAAAATTTGAACTAGGAGCAGAGGAAAGAAGAGGATAAAAACCAAGAATACAAGATAATGCCATCTTGGCAAGGAAGTCAACAGCTTCATTAGCATCTCTTGAAATATGTTGACCATGCACCATCCACTCTCAAGATAGAAGAGCATGAATTTTGTCAATAATGTTAGCATATGGGTAGACAAAGGATGTATCATTTTGGATAGCATCAATGGCTTCCCTTAAGTCAGATTCCAAGATGATCTTCCTATAACCAAGGTCCCAAACCAATTTGAAGCTCCACATACAAGCTTAGAGTTTAGCATGCAGTGAATCGCCATCGGTCATCTCGTACATGAACCTTTCTCCAAATGCTCCCTTCAAGTCACGTATCAATCCTCCACATCCAGAAATATTTGGATTAGTAGAGAACGCACCATTCATATTAAGTTTAAACCAGTCATCCCTTAAAGGGTTCCAAGTACCATCAAGGATAGGTCCATCCTGTTTCCTCCAAACAATACCCTTAAAAATTTTAACTTCAATAAAACGTGTTAAAAATAAGACCAGGAGGGTGTATATGGCAGACGATGCCATGATAAAAAGTAAACAAGCCTATTGCGCGGAATCTTTTATAATGATTGTGCGAAGACTTTGATGAGACTGTGTGTGTCTGGTCGAGTTTATTTATTTTTCTGTGCGCCAATTACAATTGACAATTTTTTTTTGTTTAGTTGACGTCGATTTGATGCATGTTATTTGAAATAATTATTAGGCGTTGCAACATTTGTGTACCGTTGCTTATTCCGTCTTTATGTTTGTTCGTCGTTTCCTGGTTTATCAAATTTGGCAGGGAGAAAATTATGATGATAATAATGAGAAAGGTGTCCTTAATTAAAGCTGTCTTTTAACCTTAAAATAAGACTGATCGAGAAATTAATAACGTAACAATTCAGAACGTAACGCCGACATTAAACAATTTGTAAAATACTAGAATGAAGTGTAGTGGAGGCCAGTGGAAGATGGACACGTGGAGGAATGAGAGGGGGAGTGTGTGTGTGAAGATTGTAAGGTTGGCAAGTTCCAAATGCTCATGCAGAAACTACCAAACGACAGCATGCAAATTCAGTCACGTAACTGTGTGTGCAGCCTCTGCAGACGCCACGTGTTCCTGCAAACGACACCTTGACATCGGAATATACGACACCGTTCTTTCTCTTTGATGCTCCTCCTTCAGTTTTTTTTTTTTTTGTTTTGTTTTTGGCCAGATTTGGATGCCATCAGATTACACGCCTCTACTTAACATAGATATTGAGTACACATATCATCTAAACTATTAAAATCTAAATTAATAGTTTAAATAAACTTACGCATTCATTAATCTTAAGTAGAATATAAATTTATATTTATTAATCTAAATTTTAATCATTCAGTACCTATATTAAATACAATCACTAAATTTAAATCCTTCCGCCTTTAAAAATCTTTTATTATGTATATCATATATTCCTACCTTAGCCACAGTAAAAGGTACTGGTGGTCATTTCATGGTTCTAAAAAAAGTTAAGTAAATTTAATCTTTTAAATTTTTTGCACCTTTTTAATTATGCACTCATTAAATACTCAATATAAGTGTCTTAATAATGATAATTAAAATTTTAATACATTATTATGTTATTTTTTCAACAAGAGAAATAAA